ACGTTGTCCCCTCTTATATATATACCCGCCTACCCTAGTAAATACTAGAGCAATCGCCAAAGTACATGATAGTTCTAGAAACGTTGCGTCACTGTAGTCATGTGACTCGCTGGCGCAACAATACCTTTGAATAACTCACAAAATCATAAATTACTACATCAATACTATAGACTTTTACTATAATTTATAAAACTTAGTAACTAAGCTGTATTTGGGTAAAAAAAAATGAAATTTTGAGCAGACTAAAGACACAACCTACCTCATTGAAATCTTGATTCAAAAGAAAGAATTAGCATTAGGTACGTTAGAAAGGTTGAGAAAACCACTAGGAGAACATTTTGAGCTTCTGATTGATTATTCATGTCATATATAGAAGTAAGTGTATATAAGGGTGCATTTCCAAAAATGGAAAAAGGTAAGCGGGGTGCCACTTTGTTTGATTTATTATATGAACAATATCTTAGCAAATAGAAAAGATAAGACTTTCTTATTTTATATTTTAGCTAGTAAATATCAGTAACTTGAGTTCCTAATTCGTATGAAACTATAGACCTAGTATTTTGACTTCACAAACATCTATTTTGAACCAGTGCTGCATTGAACATACCATGTGACACACAAAAATTGATGTTTATCTGTTTTTTTTTAATATTTACTTTTAAAATTAAAAAATTGAGTAATCTATAGTTCTAAAATTTGAATTATAATCTACAATTTGATACCAAACTTATTGATATAAATTCATGAAATAGTAGTTAAATAAAATTTTGAATGCGAGTCAACAAACAAGATGACATGGCCTTTCACCTGTGACCCGTCTTGAAAGGGTTAATCAAATATGTTTAAATGCTCTGTTGGATTTACAGCTCATATCATCCAAAATCACAGAAGAAACATTAGAAACAGAGATGCAATAGAATATTATGTAATAACAGTTGCAGTAACCAGTTTTTTCACTGGGACTCTGTCTCCTTTACCAGTTTATTTGTTTCTATGAGAGAGTAATTGTTCCTTAATCATAGCTTTATACAGACATTTTTCTAAACCATTTATGTATCAAATTGTTTGTGAGCCTATGACTGTTCATTACAGGGTCCATAAAAAAATTAAACAAAAATTTCTTCAATATCACAATTAACCCAAAAAATTACTAATATGATCCCTATTTTATATAGAAAATGAATGATTTTACCATTTGTTTTTATAAAACTTTACAGCAAATGTTGTAACATAAAAAAATAATTACTTTATATTATGCATTATATGATTTAAAAAAAATGTTAGGAAGTTTGGGGTTAATCAGAAATTGCTAGGCTTTAGAGGTTAGATACTATATAACTGTAATTGGTTGCAGTGATCTAACACAACTGCAATTGGCCATTTATTTTATATAATGTCCAGTTGGTTATAATTTGTGATAATGTATTTTACTTTTGAAATTATTTTAGTTGATGGGTAAATACTATGTACACCCTATTTCTTTTTGCAAATATTTGATAATATTTTCAATAATATATTTTTCCTGCCCACTGGAGCCATTTCAGGGATTGCATTAGAATATAAACACTACAAGTCACCAACTTAACCCTCTCACTACAAACAGGTCAAAGGGCACATGTCATAACATTTTAGTGAGTAATTTCTGACAAGGTACTTTACTTCCGTTCACATACATAGCTATTCTCCTTCAGTGCTGCCCTCTATTTGCTATTTTCACAAGCCTTTCACTCCCGTGCATCCCTTGATTCACATGGTTTAACTGATTCTCCCATGCAAATTATCATGCAATAAACCTCCACCAATAGTTGTGCCACACATCCACATGACTTTCTCTATGCTATTCTACCTAACTATCACTTCTTGTTTGGCAATGCTCATGTTCAGACATTTAGTTTATGCTCTCTTCAAGTGTTTTTTTTTTTTGTATCAGTTTCTCTCAACAAATTTACTGTTCATTATACAGTAGCGATATTTGTGGAATTATTTTATATTTTTACCCAGTTACAGAATTTAATTCTTCATTAGAAATTTTTTTCCACTTTTTATTTCTTCCTGCCAGCACAGTTGTGTTTGATTATTAATTTTGAATTTCAAATTTTTTGTTACCACTTTGGAGGTTATATCTTCTATCAGTACATCTACATAGGCTTCAGGTGGCAGTACTCAACTGGGAAATTATTGGATTTACTTCATCGGGAGATTGATTGTCCATTGAGCTGGCCTTCATCTGGCCTCGACTTGAGTTTGGGGCCTACACATCTTGAAATACTGTCTGCTGACTTTGTAAAGATAAGGTGTTATATGGTTATGGTTTTTGAATATTTTTACAGTTAATATTATTATCTGTAGTTATTTGTGTTCAATAACATATGTTTAGTTAGATTGGTCAATACTCATAGTCAGGTTGTGGTTTGAAATTAGAGCTTAGTTGTATCCTTTGTCCTGTAATGTTAGATTAAGCTTAACATGGGTCTTTCTTATTTTAGGATTATCTGTAATTCATCTTACTGGTATATTGTAAATTAGGTTATCTTTTTATTTTTTCTTCAAAACATCACATCTCATACATATGTTACTGTCAGTATTCACTTAGTTAATTTTACAATGTAACATCTATTTCATTTTCATTATTAA